ATGGCATATGGTGGATTTGTCCCCTACATCCCCCTGAGATCTACGCAGATGATTGTATTGAGCATGCACACACAGCTACAGCACTTAAGAGTGGAACCAGAAGGTAGCTCTGCAATATCAAAGATAATTTGAGGACTTAAATGTATAAATGATTTAACAGGTTACACTAAAAACCTGTCTGATCTCTTGTGTGGTAAATCTATGTCTAGCTGAGTGAACTGTTGTTACTCATAAAAATGTTTTCATTAAAACAGTTAAATTTCCCTTTAAAAGAGACTTGGGCCTTTATCATTTACTCAAATAGCACCAAATGCTAATAAAATAACTGCTGGAGTTTATAGGGTTTTTTAGCAAAACCACTTTACCCACAACCTTTATGTATGTGTGATTAATTTGTTTTTGTTAGTGGAGAAAAACAAATGATTTGCACTGAGCACCAGGAATAACCTTCCAAATTGGTCCTGATGCACAGAAAAGATTAACTCTTGTGAAATGTATAAATTAGAGCTCAATATAAACATTCGGTTGTTTGATAGTTTAGCTCGAGAGGTTAAAAAAAGAAACTTAAAAGGACTTTTTCCATCCCAAAAGACAAGACGCTAATCCTCTCAGCGTGGGATCCAAGCTCATTAAAACACACCTCCTCTCTCGTCATGAGAGGACCCGCCACCAGCTGAACTGTGACCCATTTAGGGTGTGACCCCTCCGTCTAAGAAATTGGGCTGCAGAGTCTTTTATTCAACACACCCTGGGAACTAAACCTAAACCCAGCTCTCCTCTCATGTGCGAGCCAAGCGAGTTTGAATCAGCAGCTGAATAAAAGCCCTTATGTGTTCTTTCAACATTTTAATGGACCAAACCCTTAAGCTACAGCATAACAGCACATTTCAATGTGTGTGTATGTGTGTGTGTGTGTGTAGAGGTGGTAGGTTAAAGGGTGGGAGGGGTGCAGGATACAGACAAGGGAGTATGTCCTGCAGTTTGAACAATCACACCCAAGCTTCCACTTTACCTCAGTCAGCCACAGGACATTTCCCTCCTTTAACCTCTCGTTCCCCTTTACTTCCCCTCTCCCTCTCTGCTGTTGCACACTCCTTCCCATTCTTCACGTCGATGTTTTCTCTGTCTGTTTTCCATTTCTCTGTCTCTCATTTTTGCTCTGTAGGTCAATTCTGTCGACACTGTCGTTGCTGTATCTGAGTAGGTTGTTCACAGGGGACTTGAAGAACAATTTAAAATCCATAATTGTCTTTTGTCTTAAGTATCTGAATGTATCATTAAAGCCACTAAGTGCTGACTTTGAAAATGTCAGACTTTGTTGAGGTGATATGTCAGCGAGGTAGGAAAGATGTCGTCTTGACTTGCTTAGTTCAGCAAGGTGAAATATTGTTATAACTACCACCACTACCCAGCAACGCATGCTAGAAATCTCTTGAAAGGGTGGTGATTCAAGGTTATTGTGACATTCCTTAGACATGGTGGTGGTAGGTGTTCTATGCACAACCCGGTCTCTCTCCGAAGTCATCGAAATCCAGCGCTTGTGGCGTCAGACACTGATGAAAAAGTCATTCTTTAATGTCAGCATGATAGGCAGCCTGTTGCTGTTATAGTTTAATGGCGCTTACCGACATTAAGGGGAATTTAAGACAATGAAAGGTAGGTGGGAGTGGAGGTGGATGGGTCCAACAAACACCAGCTTTTACCTGGGAGAGCAGTATTTGCGTCCCGTCAGATTATAAAGCAAAACCCTGTTCTTTCTTCCTAAACCCAACCACGTGATTTTGTTGCCCAAACCTAACCACTGCATTAATTGTTGAAGGCAACAAAACATCAATTTGCATTGTTTTATGGATGTAGTGTGTTTATTTTGAAAGAGACTGTATGTAAACAGTAAATTTACTGTAAAAACAAGTGTATTTTGAAAGAAGACAATGCATGTAACAGGTAGAACTTGACACAGCGTCCCAGAACATCAACAACCAACACACCCAGGGTACCTTTCACGTTGTATCGGACATGGAAAGTCCATGACCAAATGTCGATATGTGACGAGGTCAGAGTGAGAATGTGTTGCTATACAACATACAAGGAAAGGACAGAAACTTTGACCTTAGTCAGGAGGTGTGGTTGATCTCATTGCTAGGTATGACACAATATTTTCCCATGTATGATTTGTTGTCCTTTAGTAAGCCTTCCAAGTGTGGATTCCAGTGAAATTAAATGGGCTTCGTCACAATATGAGACGGCGAAAGTGTTGTAATTGTTAGTGTGATCACTGCTGATGGGAGGTTGAGACAAACCCAAGTCATCTCTGATGCACTGTTGCATTTTTCCAGCTGCAAAATATCTTAGTATTGTGGTCACTTTATTCCTGTTGTTATATCATAGTTGTGTTGTGTTGGGCATCTGTGATGAAATCAGACACAAACATTACCACTCAGTGGCCTAAATATAGACAGTGCAGGCAGTGTGGTTGCACTTGGGCCTGAGAGGTGGGGGGCCCATAGAGAAAGTGGGCTATTCAACAATGTGTTGGGTGGACAATGGGCCCTCATGAGTGATTGCCTCCTTGAAAATATGACTGTGTTCAAAGAAGAACTCTCATTAAATTAAAAACAGTGTTATATATCCTCATGAAAAGGAAAACCCATCTCTGTCATGTTTGTGTTTTCTTTATTTGTAAAATAGTCAATAGCATCTATAATGAAATTAAATGCTTATTCTAGGGCCCATCGTAACCACGGCACTGTTACCATTGCACAATCTAATCTGTAGCATTTTATTAACACACTGTCATTCAGCGTTTGGAGAATATTTCTCCTACCTTTTTGTCTTTCCACCATTTTCTCCTTGGTTTAAGAAACTCTTCAGCCTCTTAAAAGTCCTCCTCCCTGCTACCACAGCATTTTGCCTTAGGACATGGATCGACAATCTTTTCTATCAAAAGAGCCATTTTTGGCCAAAACAAAATAAATGAATACATAAAAAATAAAATGCCTGAAGCTGCAAAAAACATACTTGAGCCTTATAATGAAGGGAAAAAAAAGGGAAAAACGCCAGCACTCTCAAATGTCCTTTTAGTTCAGTTTAATAATCCATCTTATAATGAAGGTAACAGACTATTAAATCTAAATTAGCCAATAGGTCTAAATGAGTATTCATGAATATGTTGAATTTGGCTTTTTATGATATTTTGGTTCTTAAACTTTGCAGTGTTGGTGATGAAAGCAAATGAACCTGTCCACGCACTATTAAAATCAATTTTTTTTCCCCCCTTGTTTGGATTTAGAATCCATAGCTATCTTAACGAGGGCCACTCACTACCAGCCATTGCTATTGAGGTTAAAACATTTTTATATTGAGTGTATAGGCTGCGCAATTTAAGAATCACTTTTGACCTTCAACAGTGATGAATGACAATAAGAATATTAAAAAACAACGTTATTCATTTCCATATCATTTTTATGAAGTCATAGGGAGCCACTGAAGAGGGGCCAAAGAGCCCCATGTGGCTCGGGCGCCATAGGTTGCCTACCCCTGCCTTAGGAGCTCTCTTAAGGGCCAAGATGCTTTGTCAATAACTTGTATCTTTACCAGGACTTAACTTTACGGGGAAATTCTTACAAAACATGATAACTAAGAATTTTCATAGAATTTTGTCACCTGGAGCAACTTTTTGTTCTACAAAGCTTTGTGAATACGGCCTATCCCACTTTACTCCTGATGAGAGGTGGGGTACAAACTGGATGGGTTGCCAGTATATCACAAGGCTGTGTCAGATTCATTTATTAATTTTTATGAATTTATTAATGTTATTTAACCATCACAAGACATTGGCTGCGAGATATAGATCATGAAATATGCATAATGGAAATAATTACCTTCTCACTTCGCCTACAAATGAATAGATTTACGAAGTTACGGTCAAACTGGATCCCGTATGTATGACAGTCACGGCCACATTTTTTGGAATTGACAAATTAATAGATCCTTTAAAGAATGCCTGGTCTCCTAACCAACTTAAAAATAATGTATTGGAATGTCTCCCAATTTGATAACGTATACCTCTGTTACACATCCCTTTTTCCCAATGTAAAATAGTTAAAGAAAGCTTTATAGGGAACACACTGTGGACCAATATCATAATAAACTGATTAACATCATTAGGGTATGCAGGAATTGGCAGCTACTGATTGTCAACAGTGTCATCAGCTTGGTGTTTTGCCTCATTATATTTGGGTTTTTCAGCACTGTGTCTGCATTTTTCATAGCATCCTCTTGGATGCATGTTGCTTGTGGTCTGATACGTGGTACTTCTTTATAAAGTCCCAACTTTACCTGAGCACTGTGGGGGTAAACAAACTTCCCAAACAGAAAAAATAACTAGAAAATAAGAATGAACAGGCAAAGGGCAGAGTCCCTGCAGAAAAATACACTGCTAAACCCCTCTAGTGGGTCATTAGTGATGACTGAGAGGGATTTCTTTTGTATGAGTCTATACGTTGTACTGTACTTATTTAGAAGGACAATGATGACAGGGTGTCCAACAGATCCCTTGTTATGGAGAAGTTGCCATGGGTAACACTAAGGATGCGCTCAATTCAGAATAAGTCTCATCCACACTGACAATTGTCTAACAAGACTTAAGATCCAGTCTCAGTCTCCCCATGAATAGGAACACAGACAACTTGCTGTACTATCAGTACTCTGTCTCTGTGTGTGTTATGATACCTCCCCCCTGTGTTCATGTTTGGTACTAAACCCTACAAGCTGAGGGGAGGATCAGAGGGTGGAGCTCCACCTCACTGCCCACAGGCACAGGTACATTTTTTTCAAAGGCTGTAAGCCAAAGCCAGCAAAGCAAGTGGGGGCTGTCTGGAAGTTGTCAGTGGTGGAAATGAATTCCAGTGCTGTGCAGTAATGACAACGGACGGCACGATGAAGCAGCCAGATGTTGCTCTTCACTAGATGCAAGTTAGATCATAAGGGCCTAACTAACAATGGGGAGTTTTGTGGCTGAGGTGTTTCTGCTCCTGCTGATTTCTGCAGGACACGTTCATGGAGGTAAGACGCTGCAGAGGCAAAATCACTTTTGCTGAGAAGGATTCTGCGGCAACATTATGGTTATGATTTGTTGCATTGCTGTGACAGGACTGGTGATGCTGTAAAATGGTTTACCTACAGGAGCAGGTTAAACTATGGTTTTTAATTGTCATTTATTATAGTTAACTTTAACATTCTCACACGAGCTGTGGGATCCCATCCATCCCCTTTTCATCCATAGACTTAGGACATAATGATATTGTTGTAAATGCAGTATCATTTGTACAACCTGTGACACTACGGGTGAATAAGGTGTATTTTTGTATTTTCCTGAACTCTTATGTTTAGATATGCAAATAAAGGATTGTGTAATTTGATTTGTGCTAATTTTCATAAATTTCCAAAACATATAACTGCTCACTGGATAAAACCAGGTTCAAATTTTTATTTTTATTTATTTTTTTGTTGATGATATATTAGAGTCAAAAGCAATTTTTGGATACCAGAAAATACTGTCAACAGCCATAAAAAAAACAAAAACAAATTTGGCCATCTTTTTAGGAAAGAAATGTTATACAAATCAGGCTTTGAATGGTATATGAAGAAACCCCTCTGTAAAAAAATATATATATAATTAGAATTTTATAAAAATATAAATAATAATACTAAAGCTCTACAATATAGATATAAATAAAACTGGATTTTTGAAAAACTAATTTCAAGAAATTGGCCTTTAAAGCTATGTACTATAAAATTCCATACATTTGTAGACCAAAAATAAGACACTAAAGGTGAATAGGGTAAAAGAAAATGTAATAATAGCTATCACAATGAAACTTCCCCAGTTGATTACTTACAATTAGACATTATATTTTCTAAAATTGTATTTTAAATATGACAAAATTCTTGTTTCATCAAAGGTTTTTTCTGATATTTTATGTTTAAATATGCAATTTGTGCATTGTTTAATTAAATATGCACTTTTTTAATACATTTTCAGAACAGAAATCTTGACTAAAACAAACACCTAAATGTGTATTTTGCACATTTTCTTTTCATTAGTCTAAAGGACAACATGGCAGCAAAACCTCAAAGTTGACCAGTGCATTAAAAAACTGCAGTGTCTCCCCAAGTTATAATGTGTCTGTGACAGTTGTCAGCTTAATGTTTAATCCAGTTTAATATTGTCTGTACACATATGGCAATATGTTGCAGGATACTGGATTACATTTTTGGGTACCTGATCTGATGTCACGCTGCTCACCAAATGTCGTTCGAGATAGTTTGGTTTTGTAGGGTTTTTAAGTAGTGATGTAACTAAACACTATCATCATTATCAAGTGGCTCCTTGCTTTTCATTTCATTGCACACTCAAAATCATTATTCATATTATTCTGAGTGTCAAAATGAGCGTTTTATAAGTGTTTCTTAATTACACACTCAACAGAGTTCATTTACCAGCTCTGTATCAGCTCTGTAAGTGGACGTCTCAACCACCACTTCTTATCAAATCTGAATTATTACCCCCTGAAATATGAACATCTCCTAACACAAGTTGCTGCATGTGCTGGAGCTAACACTCCAGGGCCGTCAGCAACGCCTCAGACATGCGTCTATCCTTACACCTGCTCATGACAGCACATTACAGACCTGCACTCACATTCGAGGAAGATTACTAATAATCCAATGTTCGCTGTTATCATAGAGGCAGATTACAGAGATGGACAGGCACAGGTTATACTGACAGTGGGCTTATAGGCTTTATGCAGAGCGGCATGCTGGGCCAGTCTGCTGACGGAGTGCTTCTCACTGGGACCAGTCTTAGAACACATAGCCTTGATAATAAACATTATTTTGCAGGCAGTGCATTTTCCAACCAGAGATTTAAAGACGATGAAATAGTCAGCCATTATTCCAAATGTTACCAACACAAGCATGAAATAAAAACAAAAAAACAAAACAACTAGTACCCCAAATTGTTTTATCTGAAGTCAGTCAACAAAAAAACCTGTAATTTTACAAATTAATGAGCAGCGTTGGCCGACTTGGCATGCCCCTTTAACCACCTGTCATAAAAACATTATTTAGAGGCTGAAAACTATGTTAAATGTTTAATAGTTATAATTTCCCCACAGGTAAAAAGTCTAGCTTGTGTTGCTGTCTGACTTTTTTCTGTGTGATGAGGGAACATAAATTATTGGTTGTCCTGTAATTACACTGCAGAATCGTTGAGCTGTACACTGCAGCTTTTGTGAGTAAATTGTTCATAAAATGTTACGGCTTGGTTTTTTATCCCCCTCAGGCCAATTCATTTTTTTATTGAGATAAGTGATGATAGAACGAGTTGGTTGTTTAAAATCATTTCTGTGTTTTGCGGATCCTTTTTTTCTTCATTAGAAACATTGAAATACCCCTTTAATTTCTATATTGTGCTCAGTCTCACTGCCAATCCATACTGCTGGACCGCTTAGAGAGTTTTTAGTGTGTCAGCCATCCCCTCCCACACACACACACACACACATACACACACACTATTTGACCTCTATTTGTCGTGTGTTTCTTTTTCCACAAATTGACAGTCATTTTAACAGAGTGCTCCATACGGCTGCTTTGTAGGTCAAATCGATTAAAGACTGCTTTACTGTGTTTTTCAGTCACAGACGGGAGTGGTGGGTTTACTGGCTGCACTACAAAATGAAATTACATTGTCATCACATATAAAAACAATTATAAAACACCAGAGTGGAAAAGGGTTCATCAGCTGTACCTAATTTGCACAGAGATTTAGACAAAAGCAGGACAGACGGATAGTTGGGTGGTTGATCCACCACTTTGGTCTAGACTGAAGTATCTCAACCACTAATGAGATACCACGATTCATGGTTCCTGGATAATGTGTCCTAATGATGTCGGAGCCTGACCTTACTTTTCCTTTAGCTGATAAAACTAAGGTTATGCATTTCTCAAATGCTAGGAAGAAGTCTGTGATGTTTTTACTGCTCAGGGAAGTTAGAGGTTGATACTCTTCTTAAAAAGTTGAGGCTGAATTAGGATTTTATTTCAGAAACAAGTCCTGTTCCTCCTTTGTGGCCAGAAAAAGACTTGTTGCTGCCATGTTGTTAACAGTTCTGGTTTATGGTGATTTGTTGTACATGAATGCATCTGCACATTGTTTGCACATTTACAATGCTGCATATCATAGTGAAGTGAGATCTGTTACAAATTGTAAAACCCTCACTCATCACTGTACGCTTTATTCCAGGGTTGGTTCGTCATCTTTGACCTTTCGTAGGCTCAGTTACTGGTATTTGTTCATTTATAAAGCCTTTGTACATCTGTACCTTGATTGAACAGAGATCTGACTGTAGCTGTAGTCTGAGATCTCAAGACTTAGTTTTGTTGTCTGTTCCTAGTGCACGGACTGAGCTGGGAAAGAAAGCTTTTATGTGCTGTGCCATAACCATGTTAGCATACTTTGGTTTAAGACCAAATACCTGCAAGACTAATGACATTCACATCAGCCTCAGCGGTAGTGTTCAATGCTAATTGGCAAATGTTAGCATGCTAACACGCTAAACTAAGATGGCTATCATAATAAACATTATACTTCAGCATGTTAGCATGATGATGTTTGCATTGCACTCCACAGGCATGGCTTTATAGGCATATAATGTTGTTTTATTGTTCCAAATTCAAACTCAGCCCAGCCACTGGAAGGAAGTGTTTGCATTGTATGGTTCTGCAAACAATGGATATGTTACAGTTGTACGTTTCATACATGACATCAGACATTCCTAAAGTGATGAAGTTCTGATTATATGGATGAGTTGACTAAGTCATCACCAAGCTGCAGACCAATGTCCAAGACCAACAGACAACCAAACTAGTTGTTCCTTAGACATCAGCCGGCATGTCCAGGTGTGATTGTGCCACCAAAACCTGGTATTTTAAGCCAAAACATGATCTTTTACCAACCATAACCAAGTGGTATTTGTGCCAAAACATAACCACACATTAACCACGGCACTGGTAAACATAAAGAAACATAAAGTTTCAACAAATCTGCTACAAATAACAAATATTACATATCTGTAGTTTGCTGAAACATACAATGCCAACATTTACTCTGGTGATTGAGTCATCAAACTAGCAGTATAGTTGGATAGTTGATATCCAGCATGAAGATGCAATACCAATATAATATCAATATGATGGCCATGAAAGAATTTTAATAGTAATGATTTACACACTTTCATTTCTATGTGGATCATGGGTTCCCAGTTTGAGTTAGCTAAATGTGCTGTATGTGCAATGCCCACCTAAGTTTTACGTCAGCTAATGACACAGTTTTTCCTTTCAGAGACTCTCTGTCACTGAGTAAGTTTTGCGCAACTAAATGTCTAGTCTGCGTCATCTGGGTCAGCAGTGAAGTCTAATTAGCATCACACATTTCAGGATGGCCTCTCCAGAATGCATTAGTTGTCATTAATTGAATTCAGATAGCAGGTGTAAAGTGCAGAGCAGACACCACATTGACAAACCACTCAATACAGATTAATGGAATAACCTTTGCTGGGTGGTCACTGAGCATTCATTTAATTTTGCAGGGTGACTTAGCATACAGATATAACTGAGACGGTAAATTAAAAAATATATATGAACAAATTTCCAGCTTGCTCTTTTATGACTAACCCTCACTGCTTATTTGTTCTGCAAATTTTATCTTGATGGAAAACTACTCTGACTAAAGCTAAATCTGTCTTCTCCTTCATTTTTGTAGTGTCGTTCTATGGTGATGGCTACATTCACCTGAGGACAGTGGAGACATCCATTCAGACTTTACTCCATGTACGATTTAGAACCTCCAGTCAGGCGGGGATGCTGTTTTTGGCAGCTGGACCCAGAGACTACTTGCTGCTGGAGCTGGTCTCTGGGCGCCTGCAGGTAGGCTAAAGCACATGTTAGGATAGTAGCACTCTGGTCTAAATCAACTGACAGGACGTGTTTATTGTTCATTTAAAAGGACACAAATGTTATAACAGTTTTCTTTCGACCATTTGAACTTTAGTAATATGAATAAAATGTGTCAAAGTAAAAGCTGTCCAGAGGGTTTCACTCAAAGATATCTCACACCTCTAAATCAAGAGAAAATATTCGTCCCTTGGGCCATTTTAGCTCATGCGTATTGCCATTTACTATCCTGAGGAAAGACAGAGAGAAGCCTGAACACACACAGCTCGGTGTCGGATTGCTCACAGAGAGAAAAAAAAAATAACCCCCCCGGCCCTTTCAGAACAAGTTCGTTCATGACCAAGGCTAAGAGAGAAGACCACAATAGTTTAATGAGAACTCCATTGCAAAGGGAGCTGCTCATGAAATAGTCTGGTTGCATTTGTGTGGAATAGCCCAATGCTTTGAACTGCAGTTAACAACGCCCTTGATTCTGTTCTCAATTGCACACATTCAAGATCTCATCACCATGCTATGCCTGCTTTTATGTGTTTGGCTTTCCTCAGCTCTTTGTCTTACTTTATTAAAGTTTTGGCTCGGGAAAAAAAATGGAAAGACTCTTGGTTATCACCTTTTATTCCTCATTTCCTCTTTCTCTCCTCACCTCCCCCTTCACCCCATTAAGGTACGTCTGGACCTGGGCTCAGGTGAGCGTTCACTACACTCAGAAAAGGGCATCCATCTTAGTGACCTGGCGTGGCACTCCATGGAGCTGACCCACAACCACCATACTGTCAACATGACCGTGGACCGGAACTCTCATACCAGCCTCCGTATGCCAGGACCGGATCTGGAGCTCAGTGTCGAGGACGGGCTTTTTGTTGGTGGGACAGCCGGACTGAACCATCCATACCTTCTCAACATCTCTACTGGATTTAGAGGTTGCGTAGATGAAGTTGTGTTCAATGAACATAACCTGTTGTCCAGCCTGAGGCCTTATTCTGGGTACAAGAGCATCCACGAGGTATCTCTGGGCTGCAATCCGCAGTTTTCTGCAACAGAAGAAGATCCTGTCAGTTTTTTCAGCTCTAAAGCCTTTATCGCTCTCCCGCCATGGGAAGGGCCACAGGAGGGGGTGTTTGAATGTGAACTGTACCCCTCTGCAAGAGAAGAAGATGGCATGGTCCTGTATAGCTCTGGCAACGACGGAGGGTTTGTTGCTGTAGAGATAAGAGAGGGTAACATTTTGGCAACGATAGGAAATGGAGAAGGTACTAAGACTGAGCTGCGTTCTCTAACACATGTTCACAGCAACCACACGTGGTACCCCATCCAGCTGCACCTGCTGCCCAGCAGCGTCCAGCTGAAGGTGGGGGAGGAGTTGATCAAGGCCATGCTGAGTCTGGAGCTCCAGGTCATCCAGTTCACAGGGCCTCTCTTCCTGGGAGGGCTGGACGAGGAAGCCCGGGGCGAGGCAAGGCGAGCTGGGCTGATATCGTCTGTGCCAGGGGGGCAGCCGGCTGGGCGAGGAGGCTCCTTTAAAGGTTGCCTCCGGGAAATTAAAGTGAACACTCAAAGAACAGGACTACCTCATGCTGCCGTCACCAAGGACATCACTGTGGGCTGTAGGACAGGGCAAGATCCAGATGAAATCACCACCACCAACCCAACAGAACGTCCTGAGTCAGATGTTACGACCACACGACCATTTACCAACAATAAGAAGTACCCTAACTTTCTGTTGCTGAGAAAGCTAGACGTTGTGGAGGGAGGTCGGGCACCACTGGAGCCTAAACACTTGAGGGTAGGACTGATTGTCTCCTGCTGATACATAAATGTCAGTAAAAATAACATGGGAGTTGTGTAGTTTTCACATAATAACAAATATATATGTCAGTTAATCTTTGCACTCCCCTTTAGGTGAATCTGGATTTTCGGAAATTGGGCATTCGTCCGTCCCAGATGATGTTTCGCATTGAGGGGCAGCCTGTCCACGGCCAGCTTCGGCTAGACCTCAGTCCTGACACTACTGGGATGCTGGGCAAAGGCAAGGAGAGGAATATCACAATACGAGCAGAGGACGTCGACCGAACTTTTAGTATGCTGGACCTGTGGCTGGGCCAGGTGATATACGTTCATAGTGGGTCAGAAGACGAGCATGACTTCTTCATGTTTTCAGTCTTCTGCAGCAGCAAAAAGGAGCTTCCTGCATTTCTTAGGGGCAACCGCCTGCACCGATTTGATATCAGCATCAGTCCTGTTAATGATGCGCCTGTGCTCAGCCTGCCGGAGGGAAACCTTTTCACCATGCTGGAGAATTCAAAACGACAGGTAGGTATAGCTGAACTCTTGGATGCTACATGTAAGTGATTTAAATATAAAATAAAATATTAACACAACCACAATGTCCCCAGCTGACAACAGATGTGCTGAGGGTGTCGGACCCTGACAGCAGTCCTGCAGAGCTGGTGTTCAGCTCCTTGGGAAACCTCAACACTGAGGCTGGACACCTTGAGCACCAGGATTACCCTGGCAGGTTTGTGCTATGGCATGTGAGGACTTACAGTACCTTGCAAATCTTCTTACAACTAGTCATAGATGTCTGTTGAAGCAGTGGCTGAGGTTGTGAAGTTGTTATGTGCTATGCAGAAATGGTTAGCCCTTAGCCTAACAAGCAGAGGTAGGATCAGAACATGGAAGTTAACAGGATTGCATTTATCTTCCAGGGCCATTAACTTGTTCTCCCTGAATGATCTGGAGGAGGATAAGATCAGCTTTGTCCACTCTGGGGTCTCCACCTCCCGGCTTGCACTCAGGGTCAGCGATGGGCTGAAGGTAAGTGATTTACTCCTTTTCATCTAATCTCTTCATTCTCCTCTCATCTCCTCCCTTGTTTCCTCTCCCTTTATCTCATCTTATCTTTTCTTCCCTCTCCTCTCCCAGTTGAGCAACACTGTAGTTTTGAGGATTATGGCAGTGCCACTCGAGCACAAACTGGTGAATAACACTGGACTGGAGGTGAACCAAGGCGGGGCTTCCATCATCACAAACGTTCACCTTGCAGTACAAGTTAATGTGGATGATCAGGTGGTGGAAATCCACTATGATGTTACAGAGTTGCCACGATATGGTGAGCTCCAGCGGTTGCACTCCAGCGGCGACTGGAAACCAACAACTTCCTTCTCACAGAAGCTTCTAGAAAAAGAACGGATCCGATACCTCAGCACTTACCATGGCCTTCAAACTCAGAACAACGTCACTGATAACTTCAAATGTAAAATCAGCATCAGTTCACAGGCTACTGAGGAGGTTGATTTCCACATTGCGGTACGCTGGATCCACTTCAAGGTCACACGCAGCAAGATGGAGGTTAATGGTGTTCAGACTGCTGCTATCACTCCAGAGGAACTCCATGTAATTTCAAAAGGTATTAAACTCAACGAGAGCGACCTCTTCTTCAGGCTCCTGACAGTACCAAAGAAAGGGCAGCTGTTCCTCAATAACAAAGTTCTACAAAAAAACTCAACCTTCAGCCAAAAGAATATCACAGGTGGCTTGATGAAGTACGAGCTTCTCAACAAGCTGAACGACGACACAAGAGACACGTTCAGGTTTCAGGTGTTTTCAGCACATGCCAGCTCAACAGCTTACGACTTCAGAGTCAACATCAAAGCTGAGTCGACTGCAATCAATGTCGTAAACAAAGGCCTTTCAACGCTGGAAGGAGGAAGTAAAGTCATAAGCAAAGATGTTCTGTTCACTCACACAGCAAGTAATCGGGAGGTCCACTACAGTATTACAGTGAGCCCCAGGCACGGGCACATAAGGAGGATCAACCTCTCCAACTCAACTTCCATTAACGACAACATTGTGGCGTTCACAAATCAGGATATCATTGAGGAGAGGATCATGTACGTTCATGATGACAGCGAGACCAAACAGGATTCCTTCACGTTTCAAATTATGGTTTACAAACCGCACAAACGCAGTGGCAAGAAGGAGGATAAAATCACAGCCGAACACACCTTCAATATCTCTGTGCAGCTCGTCAATGATCAGAGACCTGTCAGGGTTGTCGATAAAGTTTTCCACGTGGCCCGTGATGGGCAGAGGTTGGTGACACTGAATGACTTGCGTTACCGGGACGATGACTCAGACTTTGAGGACAGCTGGTTGGTGTACACGCGGAGGGGGATACCCATGGGAGAGCTGGTGCTGGCCAGCGATACCAGTCACAAGCTTTACGAGTTCACACAACGGGACCTCGAGCAGGTTGGCACAATTTATTTGTGAAAATTTTTGGTAATCCAGATGGTAGAATATTTAGAATCACAAAGTCAAAGGTTGGCCTTCACATGTCACACGACCCTCATGTGATCTTTAGTGCCTGACTGATCACAAAATAGGTTAAACCTCGTACACTCCCTTTCCACCAACATGAAACAGGTTCATCCAGTTCCTGCACCTGATTTTGAACTCTTCAGAGTGGGGATGCCCTGTTCACGTTTTTTTCCCTGTGATCCCGATCCAAGTCATTTAATATTGAGTATCTGCCAAAACCAACTCCCGATCTGATATTCCTGCTTTCTTAGATAATACAGTTGCACAGTACATTAAACTTATTAAAACCAGTCCAATGTGTATGCTGACAACTGAAAAGCTCTGCAATGCGTTAAGAAAAAAACACTGAATCCAGACTGTACCTTAATGTTTATCTCTTTGTTTATTTTTACAAAATAAGTAAATAGGTCTAAAATAACAAACCCACCCTTCAACCTTTTTGGCCTCGGACATTGTCTCAAGGAATGTCCTTTTTCCTTTAAGAGAGTGGCCCCATGGTGCTGCAGTGGTTAGCATTGTTGCCTCACAGCAAGAGGGTTCCTGGTTCAAACCTGAGGTGGGGGGCAGGAACCCTGGGGTGGGGGAGCCCCTCAGCGAGCCTGCGTGTCATCGTGGGTCTTTTCCTGGTTCTCCGGCTTCCTTCCACAGTCCAAAGACATGCAGGTTCATTGGTGACTCTAAATTGGCCGTAGGTGAGAGCTTTAGAGACAAGGTCAAATCCTTCATAGTTCCTCGCCTTGTGCACACCTGGCCAATTGCTGCATAAAGTGGATGTGCATGTCAAATTATCGGTTTGTAAAGTTGCATTCCCCCAGTTTCAATGTTACAAAGGTGTGAAGAGACGCTGTTTCAGGTGCACTTTAAAATAACACATCCAGCTGCCTTTGACCACTTGATCCTCTGTTGCTTTGACGGAATAATACTGGTGGTGCATGCTGATGTTTTTACTTCTTCTGTCTTCATCTCCTTTTCTTTTCTCTCAGAAAAAAGTGTTGTTTGTCCACAGAGGAGTGAGTTATGGGCGTTTTGTGCTTTTCGTATCAGATGGGAAACATTATGTTTCGACCCTGCTGGAGGTGAGTATATTGTCTTTTATTTATTTATTCATGTTTCAATTGTGTGTGACCGTTTCTTTTAAGTGGTAAATTAGAGCTTCTTCTACAAATGACTTGCTGGTAATTAAACATCATGAGGTATAACTGGCTGATGCAGGTGATGGCCCAGGATCCTTACCTTCGAGTCGAGAATAACACCGGCCTCATGGCCCAGCGAGGAGGGGTCACAACCTTGACCTCGGCTAACCTCAGCATTTTCAGCAACCTCGACATCCGAGACCCACAGGAAGTGACATTCGAGGTCTTCCTTCCACCCAAACACGGTGTGCTCTGCTTTAATGATGGAGATCGCGAGACTGTAACAGAAGCAGATGCGATTACAATATTCACCCAGCAAGATTTGTTGGCGGGGCGCCTGGTGTATCACCACGACGGCAGCAACGAGTTGTCAGATGGGTTCAATGTGACTGCAAGAGCGAGGGAGAAGACAACAGAGAGGCACCTGGACAGAGGGAGGAGGGAGGTACATCTGGACATCGGAGTGGCGGTAAAAATCTACCTGGAGAGTCACCAGAGGCCACCAACGGTCATAAGTAACCGTCCGGTGGTGGTAGAGGAGGGACAGAGTGTCTCCATAACCAAGGAGCACTTAGAGGTAAGCCAATAACCATAAATTGCTTGGTCACTTTCAGCCTGTTTGTGTCTGATATTGCAAGATAAGTTTCTTGCATCTAGGCTTTTGCAAGATTTATTGTTTATTGTCTGTAACTGTGATCATATTTTGGGGATTTTATGCAGACTGGTTTCTAAGTCATATATTTTCCAAGTTCCAAGAGTCAGACTTCTCAATAATGATGAAATGAAAGTGACAGTTTCACTGTGTCTTTAAATGCAGTCCAGTGATGCCATCTATACAAAATGTCATGGGATTTTCCAGATCTAAACAGACAAAATAATCTGTTAATATAATAAAGTCTTGTAATGCTCATAATTATGTCCTGTTTTGTTTGAACAGGTGGTTCATGAGGACAGCCAGCCCTCAGAGATAGTTTTTACTGTCCAAAGTCCTCCTGCCCTGGGCGTCCTTCAGCTGCTTCCCCCAGACGACAAGCACCAGGACAAAAATGGAGAACAGCAGCACGTCTATCAAGTACAGCCAGCTGTAGATTTAAAGCTGACTAGAACAGAAAGTTGGTGCATTTTTGTCACCAGCTACCTGCAAAGTAGTTTTTTGACTTAGAGATTTCTGCGTTTCCGTTTTAGTCCTCGCTTGTCCCTCTTCTTTAAAGTAGGTAGGGCTCAGCTGGAAAATAAATAGTAACTCAGGAGGTTTGCTTTCCAAACTTTGAAGGGATACTTAGGATCTTTTGAAGTGGGGTTGTATGAGGAACTTATCTATATTACCGATAGTAGATGTCAGTCAGCACACCCCCAGTTTGGAGAAGCAGGTGGAAGTACCGACAGGGAAGCTAAGTAATGTACTGCAGCAACAAAACATATTTTAGCCACTTAAAAAGAATCTATAAAAGCTTAAGTGTACGCTATATTGAGAAGATTTTCACTGCTTTACCTTGCCACAGAAAGCCCTTTCCTATGGTGAAGCCATTAATGGCTTCAGCTCCCCGTCCATGCTCTCACTGCCAGACTCCATTGAGAAAAACATTAATTTAAGCTAACTGAAAGACAGGAGCTGCTGGTCTACCACTGCTTTGATTGTTAGTTAGTTTGTGTTATTGTGTGACTTTGCTGAATCTAAACTAATCCTTTAGAACACCAAAGTCACACAATAACACAAACAAACTAACTGATCAAGGCAGCAGTAGACCAGCAGCTCCTGTTTTCAGGTATGTTAAATTACTGTTTTTCTCAATGGAGTCTGGCTTTGAAGAAAGCGATATTATGGCTCTAGTTTGCTGTTGAAAACAGCTGTCTGATGGCAAAGTAAAACAGTGAAAATATTCTAAACAGATGGGACTTAAGGTGGGACTTTTTTTAGGAGGCTAAACTATGTTTTGTTGCTGAGCCCTCCTCAGCAGTGCATTGCTTAGCTTCTGTGGTTGTACTCCTGCCTGCCTACTGGATGTAATACAATGACTATGGGTAAGTACCTTGTACAAACCCACTTTAAAAGATTAAAACTGTCCCTGTTGCTTATTTAGTCATTCATATTCAATGGTAAAAAGACATACAAAAGATTTACAGCCCAATTTTCAATGGCCTTAATGATAGCTGGCTACAAACCCACCCACAAAGCCCTGTAGTGTGAAAGGGAATGCACTGTTGGGTGATAATTTTGGTTTTAGCACTTTAAGTTACCCCTAATCACATTCAGTCATTTTGCCACAACTTTAGAACCAAGAAAAAACGAGACTCATTTCACATATTTCTTTCTAATTCATATTTCCTGTCACTCTCCCCTCTGATCAATCAAAATAGAAGCAAAACTGGCTCCCAAAAGTTGCACACTGATGAGATGCTCTGCTCTATTCCTCCACACAGAGCACCAGAGAGCAGCCAACAGTTTCCTTCACCCAGGAGGACCTCAACCAGGGACTGATCATCTACCATCAGCAGGCTGCAGGACTCACCAACGACTCTGTTCTGTTGGAGGCAACCAACGGGGTCACAAAGGTCGGACCAATCAGGCTGGAGTTTGACATCATCCCTATCCTGCTCCCTTTACAGGTACAGAATGTCTAGAAGCTGGATGACCTGGAAAAGAAAAGAATTGCATGAAAATGGAGATAAATTATTTTTTTCTTGACCAAAGGATTATACAGGAATCAGCTGATCAGGTAGCCAGTCAGTACTATCATCTGTTCTGTAGGTGTCTGACTTGACCCTTGATGAGGGGTCGTCCCTGCCGTTGACCTCTGACATCATCAAGGTGGCCAGTCATCACTTCTCAGGGATGAACTTCCTGTACCAGGTCATCGTTCCACCGCGATACGGACACTTGGAGCACAGCCGGATCCCAGGGATGCCCATCACTGCTTTCACTCACACTGAGGTTTGACTGAGCTCACACACATGCACACACACACACACACACACACACACACA